AGATCTTTGCTGTAGCACTTGAGAGCTATAACCAGTTATGAAGTCATCTTAAATCAGAGATTCCCTCTATGTCAGTCTTTTCCTGTTTAAGTGTAATGCACCTTTAATTAGATTTAGCAGCTTGATCTAGGAGACACTGAGATTCCTGAACTTTTTATTTTTAATATTAGGGGAGGAGGTTTAAATTTTTGTTTTAAATTGTTTTTAATATTTAATATATTAATTCCATATAATTAGTTTCCTTAGTGATACTCATTTAAAAACATGATTCTGGGGGCAGCTAGGTGGCACAGTGGATAGAACACTGGCCCTGAAGTCAGGAGGACCTGAGTTCAAATCCGGCCTCAGACCAAACACTTGACACTTACTAGCTGTGTGACCCTGGGCAAGTCACTTAACCCCAATTGCCTAAGCAAAAAACAACAACAACAAAAAAAAAAAAACATGATTCTGAGTAGGGGTCCATAGAATTCACCAGACTGACAAAAGGAGGTCTATGAACCCTTGGTGTAGTGGGAAGAGTCCTAGACTTAGAATCAGGAAGACCTGGGTTCAAGTCCCTCCTCTCATACTTACTAGCATTGTGTCCATAGGCAAGTCACCCTCTGAGCCTCCTCAACTTTCCCATGCAATCCCTACCTTCCAGAGTTGTGGTGAAGCTCAAAGCTCCAATGAGAAAATTTAGGTTAAAGTGTTTCACAAATATAAAGTACCATATAAATGTTTTGTTAATATCGTTATTGCTACTACTACCACCACCAATACCTCCTATCCACTACTTTTGGATAGGTAACTCTTAATTGAGCAAATGTCATAATATTTGCTTTAAAAAAAAACAAAAACAAAAATACTTAGCACAGTGCCTGGCATATAGCAGATACTACATAAATGCTTATTCCATTTCCCCTGAGAAGTTTTTCCTTACATGGAACCTAACTCTGTTCTTCTAACCATAATTCCTTATTTAGTCCTGCAGGGCCAAACAGAGCTGCAAGTTCTAATTCCTTTTTCATCGAAAGCTCTTCAGGTCCTTTAAGACAATTCCCACCAAGTGAGTCTGTCAGTACTGAGGCCTCTGTTCTGGGAGCAAAAGTTTTTGCTGGGAAATCACTGATCTAGTTGGGGAGCATGTGAGAACCATGTTTCTGGGACACACAGTTATTATATCATGTGCTTTCCAAGCAGACAGCCTGGGTCCTTGTCCAAGGGTGTGATAAAACCATATGCATTATGTCATGGAGTCTAAGGGTGTCTCCCCAGAGACATGGAGTCTAAGGGTGTCTCCTTTACTCCTTTACTGCTTAACACAGACCACTTATAAAATAATTTCATCATAAGACTGATTAAAAAGGGGGGGACATGAATGTTAATCTTGTGACCGGCTATCTGCTTTCTGCTCTCATTCATCCTCTTCTGCTAGGTATATATGGACAATGATACCTGCTAGGTGTTATACCAGCCCTGGCAATCATAGTAACTTGATTAGATTAAGCTAAACTTAGACCATAATGTAGTATCAGGCAAAGCTATAAATTAGGATGTTTCTTTTTAAAACTTAGTTTTTTATTGGTTTCTCTTGCTTTTACATTACTTTCATTTCCGAATATGTCTCTGTCGTCCTCCATATCTAGCAAACCATTCTTTGTATTAAAGAATTTTAAAAGGGGGGCAGAATTCAGTTCAGCGAAATCCACCCAAATATAAAAACTATAAATTGTAATATTTTAAAAACACTGTATGTAAACATGGGTTATGAAAAAGTCACTGCTTTGAAAACAAAAAATAAGTGTGTTTGCTTATTTATATGGGTTGGTTTCACACAAGTGGTCATGCTGGGAACTGAATTCTGAATACTTTCTAATACTGACCAAAGAAATCCTTTGTTCCTGGGCTTTAACAAATGTTGGTTTTTAGAAAAGGGGGTTTTTAGAAAAATGCTTTTACTTATATACCTGGCATTGGAAAGATGACGAGTAATGTTTATCAACCTATTTAACTAGGAATGATATCTTATATTTGTGTAATACTTTGTAACTCATAAAACACATGTAAACCTATTTTCCAGTGAGGTTGCATTGCATCATAGGATTTAGACCTGGAAATGACCTTAGGTATCAACCCCTTCATTGTACTGAGAATGAAACTAAGTCCTAGGGAAACGAAATGACTTTTTTTTTAAAGAAGAGATTATTACTGAAATCTTTTGTTTTTCTATCACCTGTATTTCTCCATCCCTCCTTCTCTCTCTAATTTTTTTAAAAGAATTTTTAAAAAGAAAAAGAAAAAAATTAGCAAAAGAGATCAATATCATGGGAAAAAATCTGACACTATATGCAGTATTTCATACCTGTGGACAGCTCCCACTCCTATCTCTGCAGAGGAGTTGAGGGAGGTGTTTCTTCATGTTTTGTCTTTGAATTTAAGTTTGTTCTTTCACACCATTTTATCTCCCCTTCAAAGGCTATGGATATTTTATTGTTTGCATAATTCTAGATTGCTTTCCAGAATGGTCGTGCCAGTTCACAGCTCTACCAAGTAATGCATTAGTGTGCCTGAGTTTCTACAGCCCCTCTAGCATTGACTAGTCCCATCTTTTTATCATCTTTGCCAATTTGCTGAGTGGTGTAACCTCAGAATTATTTTGATTTACATTGCTCTTATTAATGATTTGGAGCATTCTTTGAAATGGTTAATAGTTTGCAATTTTTCTTTTGAGAACTGTTCATATCATTTGACCACCTATGACTTATATTGTTTAATTTAAATTTAAAAAACCAATAACTCACATTTATAAATGTTTAAACCTGGTTTATTTTATTTGATGCTCATTAAGCAGTAAAGGAGTAAAGGAGACACCCTTAGACTCCATGTCTCTGGGGAGACACCCTTAGACTCCATGACATATTGCATATGGTTTTATCACACCCTTGGACAAGGACCCAGGCTGTCTGCTTGGAAAGCACATGATAATTTCACACCATTCATTTTCAGTTGTGTTATAGCAGTTGTTCTTTGGATTTAATTGTTGTAGTTGTCAGTTCATGTAAGTCTTTCCATGTTTCTATATATTCATCATGTTCATTTTTCCTTACAGAACAGTAACATTCCATGATAGTCACGTATCACACTTTTGTTTAGCCTTTCCCCAGCCGATACTTGCTTTCTCAATTTTTGCTACTACAAAAAGTGTTGCTATAAATATTTTGGGGGCATAAAGAACCTTTCTTTCTGTCAATGACCTCCTTTGGGTATGTTCCTAGCATTGGAATCTCCCCTTCAAAGGCTATGGATATTTTATTGTTTGCATAATTCTAGATTGCTTTCCAGAATGGTCATGCCAGTTCACAGCTCTACCAAGTAATGCATTAGTGTGCCTGAGTTTCTACAGCCCCTCCAGCATTGACTAGTCCCATCTTTTTATCATCTTTGCCAATTTGCTGAGTGAGTGGTGTAACCTCAGAATTATTTTGATTTACATTGCTCTTATTAATGATTTGGAGCATTCTTTGAAATGGTTAATAGTTTGCAATTTTTCTTTTGAGAACTGTTCGTATCATTTGACCACCTATGACTTATATTGTTTAATTTAAATTTAAAAAACCAATAATAACTCACATTTATAAATTTTTAAACCTGGTTTATTTTATTTGATGCTTATTAAGGTGAACGTCATTTACTATCCCAATTTTACAGATTAAAAAAAGGAGAGTCAGTGAATTAAGTGCATCATCTATGGTTATATGGCAAATAAGTGTCTGAGTCAGGATTCAAACTCGAGTCTTCCCAAATCTAAGTCTAGAACTATGCCCTACCAAGTTAGCGAACAAACTGGTCCCACAAAGTAAAGAAATTACTTACATTGCAAGCAATCTTATTTTTTTTAACATTATTAAGAAAGAAGTTATATTGACCATTACATTTATGGAAATTTCCATAAGTTTATCTGACATTTTTATAATATCAGCTAATACCCAGAGGTTTCAGGAAGGAGGATAGTCCTCTACTTCATTGAATTTAGCATTAAGTATCTCATTCAAGCCTAGGAAAAGGTTTTCCTGGAAAAAAACCCAAAAATGCCTTTTGCTGTCTGAGAATGAAAACCTATCCATCATAGGTCCCTCTTTAGCAAATACCAAGGGATTCCAGAATCCTCAGGCAGCCTTTTAAATGCCATCTCTGTACACTACCACTTTGTGAGATAGGCAGAGCAGCTGCTAGGGTTTGTCCTAATGTTTTAAAGATAAAGAGCTTGGATAATATGATGTAACATGAGTCATTTTGGCAGTTTACATATTTGTTCAGTTATAACAAGGGTGAATCATATCAAATAACTGACCAAATAAAAACTTTAGGTGAAAAATAGATTAACAAATATGTGGTGATTGTTGTATGTAATTGGATTGTACCTGATCTATTCCAGTATTAGCTCCATTTGAAAAGCTAGTAGCATCCTTTTTCCAGGAGATGTTCAAGGATTCTGCCCACCTCTTTTTTTTTTTTTTAACTAGATTTTCTCACACTGAGACTAATGTGCTTTGTTATTAGTAGTTTTCTGGAGTTGTTTAGTAGCATTCGCTGGAGGTATATGTGGAAAGGAACATCCTACCCTCACCATGCTTTTTTGTATCTCAAATTTAGTTTTTAAGAGTTCCACCCTGTACCATTATAGACTGAGTGCTCAGAATGGTCTTTCTTAGTTCAGAATTGTGATTGTTATTAGGTCAGAATCATGATCCTTAGATCAATAGAATAAAGATGATTTTGTAACATTTTGCTGAAACTGTTTGCAATATGCAGAACAGTCAGCATTTGAGGATTGAACAGTGAGTGTGTGTCATTAGCCTCTCCTATAAGTTGTCATGCCAGTCTGTAGTAAAGATACTCAGGTGAGTATACTTATTAGCCAGGGGTGAATGGATTAGAGAACCAGTAAGATAAGCCCCTGGTGATTGTTGGGAGTTTTTGTTGTTTTAATGATTGCCTGTTTATTTTTAAACTAGGATGGTGAAGAAACATTCAATCGTGCAAAGCTTCTGAATGTAGGCTTTCAAGAAGCCTTGAAAGAATATGACTATGACTGCTTTGTATTTAGTGATGTAGATCTGATACCTATGGATGACAGGAATACCTACAGATGTTTCGAGCAGCCCCGGCACCTCTCTGTATCAATGGATAAATTTGGATTTAGGTAAGATATATTTCAGTTAAAAAAGCTGAATTGTATTCATTCATTCATCTCCCATCTAATAGCATGTTTAAGAACACCGTTATACTTATTATAATGATCAAGGATAGAGATGTTGGGGATGGAGTATTACCTCTTTTGTCAGACACAGTTGGTGTACTATCTTTCTTTATTTACTAAAATGTGTATCTTTAAAAGCAGAGCATTTAAAAACTTTTTAAAAAGACTCAACACTTCCTTAAATCTAGTAGTAGGTAAATTTACTTTGATTTACGTAAATCAAATAAGAAAGAAAATAAAGTCCTATATGAAATGCATCATACTGGTAACTTTCCCTCCAATTAATTATTATTAAAGGAGAATGAAGTCCAGACATGCCATCCATCCTCTAATGAACATGAAAAGATTTTTTTTGTTGTTATTGCTGAAATGCTTTGTGGTGTTTGTAGTAATTATTTTATTTCGTCATTTTAAATGGGTTTACTAATATGTTCTTGTTTCCTTCCTCCTCCATTATAAGCACACAGCAATTTAATGAGAATCCATTTTTAAGGTTTTCTGCAAATAATTCCCCAGCTTGTCTTGTTCATTGTTTTTTTTTTAAACAGTAAGTATGACTGTCGATATATTCCTTGAGCCTTTTTAAAAAGTCAGTCGGATTTTGTAGCTAGAAGTAAAATAGCCTTATTAGATGATATTTTTTGAAGTATAAAGTAGTTTGGTAGAAAAAGCACTGAACTTGAAGGCCCAGTTTTGATGCTTAATATCATAAATTCATAGTTTTAGAACTGGAATGAACCCAAGAGGCCGGCCAGTTCAACTCCCACATTTTACAGATTGAGGCCAGAGATACTAAGTTTTAAATCTGTGATCATAGACTTGGCACTTTACTTCTGAGCTCGTTTCTTTATCTGTAAAATAGTGATGATACTTGGCAAAGCTTATCACTATGAAGGAAACATTCAGGTACTTGGAAACACTTTTAAAATGACTTCCTGTATGTGAAAGTATTAAATGTGCTTTTGAAAAAAAGATTTCCTTTAGTGAAATTCTATTTTAGGTATGTGGGGTTTTTTTTCTCTTTAGTTTTTATACTTTAAATTTCTCCCCCTCTCTCCCTTCCTCCTTCCCTCTTTCTTTCTCTCCTTTCTCTCTCCCTCTCTTCAGTGAAGCTGTCTTTCTACCCAGCCAGGGCTTTGTGTCCAATAGAATCACATAGCCACAGGCCTTGAAGGTGTCTTAAAAAGGTCTTCTAAAGTACTATCCCTTGGTTTGAGAGGATAGATTCTTAGAAGATCTAAAGGTATCTCGGTCGATGGGTGCCTTCTAAAAGATCTGAGATAAAAGGAGCTTAGCCTATCCAACAAAGATATACATTTAAAAATTTTGTAGATGCCAGTTGGTGTACTGGGTAGAGGATTGGCTTTGGAGTGAGACAAGGTTCAAATCCCACCTCTGATGGTTGTGTGACCTTGCAGTTAGTTACCTAACCCTCAGTGCCCTCCAGGCATTTCACTAATAATTTTAAGTTGCATTGGTAGAAATTAAGATGTTCCACTCTGGAATTCCTTGTACCAATGAAATCATAGCTTGTGTCTCCTTTCCTTTACCCCTAAGTATTTTTTCATTTTCTATGAGGTTTCTTTGGGGGGGGGGTGTTAGCCCTGAATCTCCCTCCTAGACCCCCTCATCCTCATGTAAGAGACTTTGAGAAGTAGCCCTTGATCCATTGGAATACATCATAGACAATAACTTCGTACTTCTAGATAAACTAGGAAAACAGAAATCTGTAGAGATAGATCCCCTGAACCTTGGAGTGAGGGAAAGGTGGGTTTACGTAAACCTTCCATCTAAACCACTAACTCTTGACAAAACCTTACATTAAGTTTCTTCAAAAGTTACCTTTTCTAAAGGTAAGAGTATTCCGATTTGACATCCTTACAGGTTGTAAGGTCTGATATCTCAAGTAATTAAAGATTTTAGTGACTTAAGACGTCTGTGTTGAATTAGATTGTTTCCAAAATCTGTGGGGAAATGAGTGTTAAGGTATATGTATCACTGATCACCTAAAGACTCTTGCAGAAATGTAAAGTCAGTTGTACTAATGCTCTATTTACTTCTTTCCCACTTCTAGCTTACCTTATAACCAGTATTTTGGAGGTGTCTCTGCTTTAAGTAAAGAACAATTCCTCAAAATAAATGGATTTCCTAATAACTATTGGGGTTGGGGAGGTGAAGATGATGATATTTATAACAGGTAAATATTTGTTAAAATTCTATGTCTAAATAACCATGAAAAAATTTCTGCCACCCTTAGAAAGTACATTTCTTCCTTCATTTGATTATTTCCAAATTTTGGATCTTCAGTGCTGGGTCACTAAAAGAACTTAATTATCATACTATTAATTATTATAAATTTAAAACAGGAGCAATCAATTAAGCATACAAAACAAGGGACAAAATCTTACCTAAATTCTATAGCCTTTAATGAAGCAGAACCAAAAGAGCTAATAAATAATAAACGAGAAAATAAAATGCTTTTCATACTTCCTCTACTTCTAGACTCATCAGAAACTCAACCATCTTTAGCCCCATTTTCCTTTTTTCTAGTTTTCTTTAACAGAAAATGATAGTTGTTTGTATACAGTACGATTTCACTTTTCATCACCTTTATCTTTCTATATTTCCTCATGTGTCTCCTATTTATCATTTTTATGACACCATGAGATTCCATTCTATTAATAGACCATAATTTATTCAGCTATCCTCCAATTTTTAGACATACAGGTTTTTCTGATTTTTTAATTATGGAAAACAAAGCAACTATGAATATTTCTGTTCAAGTAGGTCCCTTTTCCCTTTTAACCCTGTTTTCAAATAGAGTCCTGGTAATGAAATTCTTAGATCAAAAGGCATGATTAGTTTTGTGATATTATTGGATATTAAAATACTGCTTTCTAAAATATTTGCCTCAGTATCTAATTCCACTAACAATATGGTAGAGTTTCTATTTCCCCACGTTGAATTCTACTGGCTTTAGACAGTTTTGTCATTCTAGTTTATTTAAGGTGATATCCTAAAGATTTTTTTTTAACAAACTGAAAATTTATAATTCAATCTTATACAGTTTAATAAAAAAACTCATCAGTTTCGTGCTAATGAAAATTACCTTTTTCTGTAAAATCCAAATCTATTTTGATAGCAATTTCCAAAACGTTAAATAGTGGGTATTTTGAATGGGCTTAAAAAACATCACTCATATCGTGGTAAAAAGCTCATCAAAAACAGCTGTTGAAGTGTGTGTCTTAAGTATATACACAAAAACACACATGTAATTTAGATTTAGCTTGTCATCCTCAGTTATACAGTGAATTACAGCACGCACAAGAGTGTATCAGTCTATCTATGTGTAATAAGGCCCAAATTTTTTGAATGCCAGGACATTTACGGTCCCCTACAGTTTGCCTCTTCACCTACATTGCTGACCTTATCTCGTAGTGCTCCTCCTCATATGTTTTATGTCCCAACCACCTCGGAATCTTTGCCATCTCCTGTATATATCCTCTTTTTTCCCTTTTCTCTGATTTTGCTGACACTCTTCCCTATGGCTAGAATGATCATCCTCATGGTCCCAACACCTGCCTATTGATTCCTACCCATCTTTCAAGGTATAATACCATCCCTTTCATGAATTAATCCTTTCCTGATCCTCCCAACTAAAAATAATCTCTCCCTCTTGTGAATTCTCATAGCACTTCATAATTCTCTTAGGTATATAGAACATTTTATTTTGCAGTGTAGGTTTTTTGTTTGCCTTTCTTATCTCTCCTCCTAGGCTGTAAGCCCCTTGAGGGCAGGGTAGTACCTTATTTATTTTTGTGTCTCCTACAGCATATAGTACAGTGCTGTATGTGCATAATAGATGCCAAATAAATATCCCTTGAATGAAGCGTTGAATTCCAAGAAACCATGAGTAAGTGCTAGATATGTTGTAGCTTTGCAGGGAGAGTTACAATAGAAATAGGAAGAGTGCATGAAAATGAGAGTTTGTATATGACTTAACTTTTGTCGATCATACAGAGTCACAGTGCTTCACAAGTTAAAGGGAAAACTTATTTTTAAAATAAAAACAGTATTTCATTTCAAGACATGAAGTGCCTCTTGGCAAGGGGAGAAAAGAGTTTTCACTGGTCACACTAAGTTTAATCATCTTCCTGTTTGATGAATTAATGTAACTATAAAATATTGAACTGCAATATGGAGTTAAGTAGTTGTTGGGTTACTTATTTAATACTGTCCAAGTAAAGGGGTGCTTAACAGATCATTGTACCATGCTAACTAGTATTTAAGAAAATATTGTAAATTATATTTATTTATGATTGTTCTTTTTTTTTTTAACACTTACAGATTAATTTATAAAGGCATGTCTATATCACGCCCAAATGCTATCATTGGAAAATGTCGGATGATCCGCCATTCAAGAGACCAAAAAAATGAGCCCAATCCACAAAGGTGTGTTCTTAGTTTTCAGTTTCTTTCTCTAGATGATTTAAAGTGATGACATTAGGCATCCAAGCACTGGTTATTTGGGAAAAGAGTGGGAGGAGTACTAGGATAGTAGCCCAGTTCATGGCGTGAGGTTACTCTCTCCTTCGATATTTTTGTTTCAGTCTGTCCTGGGAACTGAGAAGAATGTCTCCTCTCTAGTTCTCACTGGATTAATTCAAGCACCGGCTCCTGGAGGTCATTCCAGGCACAGGGAAATACGGGAAGGGAAACAGGAAGGAAGAGTTTGGTAACTCTTCTTTGGAGTTGGATTTTGACACCATTGTTTGTTTTTCTGTTTACAGATTTGACAGAATTGCACACACTAGGCAGACCATGAACTCTGACGGTTTGAACTCACTTAAATACCAACTTATGGAAATTCAGAAATACCCTCTGTATACCAAAATCACAGTGGATATTGGGTCACCAAGTTAGCATCTCAGTGAGCTGAATAAAAGACAACAATCAAGGACCCATATTGACTTTTGTAAACTTGCTGGAATTTTTTCCATTTTTGCCTTTTGTTTTACTACAATCAGAATGAACAAGAATGCCTCGTATAATTACTCAAAAACTTTTCCAAATCACTAGGACGAGTGGGACTTCTTGCCCCCAACTTGACTCAGCACATGACTTTTCTAGCTGTAAGTTTTAGAGACTGTATATAAGCATTGTTGGTTATTTATACCCTTGTTGGAGACTATCTGATTATGGTTCTTAACAGCTTACCCTACAAAAGTTAACGATTGTGAACAGCTAAAAATCACTGCGTTCTAGCTTCAGTGATTGGTGGTTAATTCCCAAGGATCAATCTGCCAAATTTTCATGTAATATATAAGAATTTTGCTTTAAATTTGTTGTAATGTTTAATTTTATGAAGGACTGGAAAATGCTGCTAAAATTGGTTTACAAGTTTACACTTTGGGAAATCAGTTGCCAGGTCCCAACCAGCTTGTAAGGGCCGTGGCCCTTTAAGAACCAAAGGAGGTATTAGAAAAAGTCCACACGGCCTGCTGAAAAGCCCTCCCCTTTTGCAGTTCCTACTTAGTCTTTAGTTGGTATCATCTGTAGTTCTCCTATGTCATCCAACAGGCTGACCTGACTCTAACCTCTGCCTTCCTCATTACTGACTCTCCCTCATCCTCATTCCTTTCCTATTTTCCTTCCTTTGCTGCTGTGATCTTAGGTCTCTGGCTTCCAAATTGTGCCTTGACTGAATCTGCTTGGCTGGCCTTGTCAGATTGGTCTCTTCTACCTTCTCCCACTATAGGTAGATTCACTGGTACTTGACTTGAACGTTGCTCTTTTCCTTCCTTGTGTCACAAGTAAGCCTAGTTGACTCAACGATCCCGAATGGATCTTCATTGCCTTCTGCTGGCACTGGCACCAGTGAAACCTATCTGTCCCAGAGCTCCGCCATGGTTTGTCGTAGACGTAGACTGGTCACATTGCTTACTGGTATGGAGGCTCTCACAGCTTCCTTTCATGCATTACAGACCTGGAAATGGGAGAATTCTAGCTGTTAGGGGTCTGATTGGAGGACAAATTTGCCCTTCAGTCTTTGCCAAAGAGTCTTGTGGTTTTCTGATTCCAGGTTCAGATGCCCGCCCAGTCTGCATTTCCCCCTCAGCCCATTAGCTTCCTGTACCAATATTCTCCTTGAAAGATTGAACAGGAAGACTGAAGAACTTTCCAGTTTTTCAAAGCTTTACTGTAGCTCTTCACATACCTCTTAACGCATGAACTTTTCTGTAGACTATCTCCAAATGGGATTCTCCTCAATTGCCTCGTTCATCTACCATCACTGGATAGTTGTTTTCTGCCTACAGTTGTACTGTGATCTTCCTGTCTGTCTCTGAATCCATTCAATTTTTTCATCAATGAGGGTGGTCCACAGTTGGACCAACCCAGAGACTTATCCACAGGAAGAGTTGACTGCCAATCCATCCATCCAGCAGCTACAGGCAGAGCAAGGCCTTTTGTTGTTAAGCTAACATCTAAATTGAAATTGAAATTAAACTGCTCTAGCTGGCCAGTGACCCAGAAAACCTGGTTGACCCCGCTCAGCATGCTCAGCTAGAGCTGGCCCACATCCATCATACCTCATTGATCAGTGTTTCTGACAAGAGAGACAATTCAACTCTTACCTAGATTTTCTTCGACCGACCTACTGTTTATACCAGAGCCTCCTGTTCTTTCCTACTTTGCTGTCTCCTTCCTTACTATATAAAGTCTTCATTGAGTAGAATAGATCTAGAGGTTAAAGGAAGACCGCTTGCTTGTTTTGTGAGGCAGAGTGTCCATTGTGCTATGAACAGCCCTCTCCAAGTACAAGAGCAAACCTCACAGGATCCTTTCTTAAGAACACATTCTTAAGTAGAATCCAATGGAGCCTCTTCTCAGGTCCTATCCTTTTCCCACTGAATACCCCCTTTAAATTCATTTAATTCAACTGCCTGACAAAAAGAGGTTCTTAACCCAAGCCTTTGGTTTGCCTACACTCTAAACTAGCAAGGGCAGCTTCTTCATTTGTCCCAGATCCATCTCCTTGGTAAGAGAGGCCATTCACACATGGCCTTTAATATCTAGGACAATTTCTCAGGAAACACAAACTCTTCAACTTCATTTTGGGGTTCATCAAATAGTCAATGTCACCTGGAGGCCATCATATGCTAGGAATTCGTCTGTCTAGGACACTTACTGGACTCTATGGTTGTGTTCATGGGGGAAATGATGTCATAGTCTTTCCTAACCAAGCCTGTAAATGCCATTGTGGTATGAGATAAATGCCCTCTCCTCTAGTTCCATACTTGTTTGTCTAGCTCAGGCATGCCTGAGTTTTTCAAAACTAAGACAATGGAAGACGTCCAAACCAATTGTCTCTAAGGAAGGAAAAGATGCTGAAAACTACCTTACAGATGAATTCGATTTGACCATAAAATGCACGGTCAAACTGTGTGTGGCCTTTGCAGGGTCTCTAGCATCCCAGCCACTTGATTAACTTTATTTTCTTAAATGTTATTAGACTTATAGAGATCATTATCTTATCTGGATAACATTGAAACTTATTTCCAGGACCCAGTCCATCAAGCTCACCCTTTCATCTGGACCTTCTGTTCTTATTTTTTAAAAATTTATTCTAATTTATCAACAATCACTTCCATAAGCTTTTGAGTTTTAAATTTTTCTCCCCCTCCCTCCCCATCGCCCTTCCCAAGACAGCATGCAATCTGATATAGGCTATACATATACATTCTTCTAGTCTTATTTTTTGCAAAATATGAGTTTGTTTGTTTTCTTTAATTTCAAAAATGTGGTTTTGATTGCAAAGGACTTTTGCCATAGAATCTTGCCTGAAGGTCATGTTGGCTTCTTCAAAACTATCCACCTGGTCAAGCGGGACTTCCAGTGGCCATAAGCCTGCCTCGACATCAACACAGAATCCTAGAATGTGAGAGTTGGAAGGGACCTCGTACATAGCTAAATTCATACATGAGAGCACTAGTCCTAGAGTCAGGAGGACCTGAGTTCAAATGTGACCCCAGACACTTATTAGCTGTGTGACCCTGTGTAACCTCAATTGCCCCCCCGCAAAAAGGAATTAAAAAAAAACCAAACTCATTCATGGAAGGAATCCTCACTATGGTGAACAAGTGGTCACCTAGCCTCACCTTGAAGACCTCCAAGGAGGGGGAGCCTACCACCTCTCAAGGCATCCTACTTATTCCACTTTTAGACTACTCTCATTGTCAGGAAGTTTTTCTTGATATCAAGCCTCAATTTGCCTAGGCAGCTTCTACCCATTATGGCTAGTTCCATCTTCTGGGACCAAGCAATGTAATCTAATCCCCTTTCCACAGGATAATCTTTCATATGCTTGAAGTAGGTTATTGTGTCACCCCAAAGTCTTCTCCAGGTTCAACATGCCCAGTTCTTCCAGCTGCTCTTCCTATGACAAGATCCTTCACCATCCTGGTTGCCTTCTTCTGGACACTCCCTCTGATTTATCAGTGTTGTTCTTGAACTAAAACACAAGACTCCAGATAAGATCCACTGAGGGCAGAGTACCGTGGAACTATACTTTCCTGTCCCTGGAAGTTATGCTCTTCAATAAGACCCTACATCTTTTTCAGAATAGCTGCTGTCTATGCCCAGGCCTTTCTCACCTTGTATTTTTGAAATTGTTAAAAAAAAAAAATCCAAGTACACTTGGATTCTTCACATTTATTCCTGTTGGATTTCATCTTACTCAATTTGCCAAAGATTAAACTAGGAAACTCAACAGGGTCCTATAGCTCTCTTTGCCATCAAGCCTCCTTTACTTTGTGGGGGAGGTGCAGTTGGGGTTAAATAACTTGCCCAGGGTCACACAGCTAGTAAGTATCAAGTGATCAAATGTCTGAGGCCAGATTTGAACTCAGGTCCTCCCAACTCCAGAGCCGGTGCTCTATCCGCTGCGCCACCTGGCTTCCCCAAGCCTCCTTTACTTTTCCTCCAGTCCTGGGTGTTATGATGAATCCTTTTTTTTTTTTTTTTTAATTAATCTTTAGGGCTATGGTGCCATCATTGTAGTGTTGGACACCCTTTCAAAAATAGCCTGATTTCTTACCTGCTCCAACCTTTCCCTACTTTCACCATAGCTCAGTTTTCCTTAGCAGTATCTTTTGACTAAGTGGTCTCCCTACACATCTAATCTGACTGCAGCCCTTAGTTCATCTCATCTTTCAACACCCTGTCCACAGCCTTGCAGGCAAAAAATACACTTCTCCTTTGCTCACTATAATCAAGAAGTGGTGAATAGATTGTGCCGTTTGGACATTATAATAATACTTGGACAGTTATACCTCCTCCTGTCACCGGGACAAGTGGTGGGTATGTCTTCCCCAGGATTGACTTTTTTTTTTTAAAAACTACATAATCACTATTGGTGTCCTCAGAACACCTCATTCCACTCCAAGTATGACTTTAATTCATCTTCCACAGTTTCTCTCTGCCTTTTCCCCATAATCTATAATTACTTGAGGGAACTATATGCTATTCAGACTAACTCTCAGACCACCTTTTAGTAGACAAAGATAAGATATAAATAGCATGTAAATTATGGAGGGCCCATGCAGGTGGAGGACCAGGCCATAGCTCAGTACCCATAACCTGTATTCAGTGTGTCCTTCCCCAAAACACTGAACCATTCTCCATAGTCTGGATCACAAAACAGTTGGGCTTTCTCTTCTAGCTACCACCCTTCTCCTGCCATTCTTTCACTTACCATTACTATCTCATCTCCACCCCTACTCCTGTGGATTTTAGGGGAAAGCAAAGTTTGTGATATAGACCGTCGTTGATTCATAACCAATATGGCAGCTAACATTACATACTGGGTAGAGAGAAGTGGGAACCAGCTGCATACTGGGATACTCTTGACCACTGAAGGCAAAGACAGTCTTAACAGGGCTCCCCTGCCAAGCTCAAGTCTTAGGGGGCTGAGTATAAGAAAGGCCTAAGATCCTTTAAGAACCAAAGAAATAAAATCTGCCAGACTCATTAAAAGGTGCTCAATTCTGCTGATTCTTGTATGTCTACAATTTGCCTCTCACCGGCTCTCTTGGCCCTTCTTGTCCATCTCCTTTCTTCAGCTCTGACCTCTGCCCTATTCCTTTTCCTGTTCTCTATCTTACTTCCTTCTGGCATTATTTTAGCCAGTGTTCCTTCTATCTACATTGCCTATTCCCATTTGTAAGTATTACCCTGCTTGTGAATAGAACCCATTCTCCTCTGCCCCATTGGCTTTATTGAACTACTTTGCTGCTCCCTCAACAACTCTGTTGGATCCCCTGTTCTTGACCTTTGTACTTATTCTGTTCCTCCCAGTATTGCTAAGGGCAGTGGGCTTCTTATTCTCTGCCATCCTCTGATTGTATCAGAAAAGCCTATGTACCTCCCATCTGCTCACCTCTAGTTAGACATATCTGTACCAGAGCTGTTCCCCCAGGTGAGTTTTTTCTTTGACTGCATTGTAGGTGATGTCTTTTGTTTCACATATTATAACAAATACCAAAATTTTATGGGGAATGAGTGCAATTTAAATTCCCTGTTCACTTTGCTTTTCAAGCACTATTTGTTCTAAAGTTTAACTCAACTACAGCAATTATTGTAGTATTAGATAGTTTTTTGTCTCCCCCAAATTTTAATTCTGAGGGATTTTAGCCCTCAGAGCAAATGCTAGTTGCTAGATTGTTCAGTGCTCAGTCTCTAAATTGCCTTATTTCTTTAAGGACTGATAAATATATTTTAATAGCAGTTTGTATTGTTTCAAATGAACAAATCGGGTTGTCATTGTGGGATAAAGTGATCTGTTTTGATTCAGGTTCTACACAGATGTTTAGTATTCTCTAGGTTTTGAAGAAGACTCGCTCTTCTGGTAGTGTGACATAAACTTGAATTTTCCCATGTACACTTTAATTGTAATGTTTTAAATGTCATTGAGGTTAAGAGTTGTTGGGGCAAAAATATGCGTATGCTGTATTCAGTATTAATGCCTTTTCATTTTACTGAGAGAAAAGATAACTTAAAAGTCTTTCACATGAGGCTGTGGATTGTCTTGTTTGTCACACCCGCATGTTGGTTTGCCAGGCATGTTGGAGAGTCGACTGCCTTCCCTTTGGTAGGACAGGTTGCTAGTACCAAAGGGACCACCTGCTAAACCTCTGAGACAGGGACTTCCCTTTCCAGAGTGGGACATAAAACGGTCCAAAAATTGCCTCATGGTTAGACAGCATTTTTTTTTTTTTTCCTTTGGGAAACCACTTCTTAATTACGAAGTGAAAGCCTGCCTGGACAGACATTGTCCTGAGATAGTGTGGAAGCCAAGCTGAGTGGAGTGCCCTGTTACATTACAGTCATGGATGGTATTACTGTTTTCAGTATATATTTCCAGACTTTTTTACAGCCCTTAAGGACTCTTAGGGTCTATCTTGTCTGAGAATAAGCTCATGGCACTGGAATACCAAGTATCAACCAAGGCAGTGTCTGTGTCAGCCCCTACTAGACCAACCCATTTTTTCCTTTTGTTTCTCAAACTCTTGTCCCTCCAACTCCTCTCTTCCCTTGTCATTTTCCTTCCTGTCACATTTTCCCCGTCTCCTTGCATTCAGTTTTTCCTTCCTGCCACCTACCTGTTTCCTAAGATTGCTGGTGGCATCTTTCATCCATGCAGCATCTCCCTTCTCATAAACTCTAGCCCAGGCTTAACTCAGGTGCCTACAACTTTCTCCACCCCTCGTCTTTTTCTTTCATAATGGTGCAAATAATCTATGAGATCCAATAACCCACAATTGTAGTTGCCTGGTGTGGGGGAAGAACACTGGTTTTGGAATTCCAACAATGCTGACTCTCCAAGCGGTGTGACCTATAAGGCAAGTCATTGAAGCCTTACTTTTCTCTTTGTAAAACAGAGATAAATGAAACCTACCTTACCTACCTCACAGGGTTGTTGTGAGGGTTATGTGAGATAAGTGTATGTTAATCACTTTGTAAGCCTTATTAGCACTATGTTGTTACTTAAACCTGTTCCTTGGGATTTTAGCACATCAGAACAGGAGGTGAAATGAGGAATTTTTCACCCAGAAATCCCTGGATATTCAGCCTGAGCTAAGACTGGTTAAACTGACTACGTTCAAATGTGTAGTAGTTACCCAAAGCCCTAACTCTAGTGCTGAGGCCTAGGTGTCAGGAGACCCAAGTTCTAGACCAGCTTTGTTATTTACTCACCATGTGACCTTAGAACACTAGCCTTAAATGGACCAGAATTTATTCCTGTGTAAAATGAGGGATATGGTCTTAAAGTCCCATCTCCCACATTCCAGCCTTCCAACTTGCCCATCTGCTGTGTGGTGGCTGAATAGAGGAGAATCATTGGAAATCTTGATATGCCTGAAAAACTGAAGACTGTTTGTTTTCCTTCCTTTGTAAGTGTAGCAACTGACTGGCCCCCAAATACCAGTGGGTACCCCACTCCCAGTCTCTTAAATCATAGCTGTATGATTCTACAGCTATGTATGTTCTCACTTTCCAAATTCCCAATACTTTTTCTAACTTCCTTCCTCCCCCAAAACATTTATTATTTTTATTTTTTAAAAAAAAATCTGTTTTCTACTACCGCAACAGCTATGCAATACAAAGAAATTATTCTATTAAGTTTTTAATCCTAACTGCTCTGTTCTCAGAGCCAAAAATGCTTTCCATAGGAACATAGTTTTGGGAGAGAGGGTGATGCAAATCTTAAGAATTCATGGTCTCTCTTTCCCAGGTCGCATCATGACCAGGGTTATTTTATAAAGTGCCTTTAAAAAAAGAAAAGGAGCAGAAACCCAGAATAGCAACTTCTCTGGTGCCTGTTTTTAATTTAAATACCAAATCCTAAAACCTCATTCACAGACTATTTCATATTCCTTCATGTCACTGTCAAACATTTGAGTGTGTAAGATCATCCTCTGCACAAGGGAAAACAAATACCTTTCCAGTACTTACTCATTTCCTGGCCTTCTAAGGATTCTTCAGGAGAGTTAGCTGTCGCTGAATGTTCATGGGACACATCTGTTAGACTGTGAAATTCCCACTGGACACCACCAGTTCATGAAATGCAGTCATTATTCTCTCTCTCTCTCTCTCTCTGTCTCAGATCTTTCAGGGTCTAGTTTTCTATGAGCATTTTTTTTGTCCAGAAGTGAATTGTGACTGTGAAATTATCATTTGTGTTTCCATTATTTTACCTGTTCCATTGCTGGTCTTTAGGAAACTAATGAAAAGTACACACAACATAATTTCAGCATAAAAGAAAGTACAAATGCCTGGCTTTTCTTGAGCTTACACTCAGAGTTAGGTATGTTATGCTGTTATTTTGAACCGTAAACATTACAGTAACTTGTTATGAGGTCATTTGGTTTGTCTTCAAATCCTAATTCTGCTTTGCACTTTTTTTTGTTTAACTTTTGTGTGTGTGCACGTGTATATGTGTGTATATATACAATTTTAAGAGCTGGGAGAATGGGTATTCCAGCCTTGATATTCATAACAGATGAGAACTGTATTTTTTTTTTGCCTTTAAATTCGATAATGACTTGAATAAATGAGCTTATCTTTATAAATTTGTGTGTGTGTGGTCTTAATTATTATTATTTTTTGCCTGATAATATGAGTTTGATGCCTTTCTGGTACCAGCTTTAGTAATAGCTAACATTTTTATAGCACTTACCATGTGCTAGGCACTGTACTAAGTGCTGTAAGAATAATAAAAATAATAATAATAGTTAACATTTATATAATGATTACAGTGTGCCAAGCACTTTATCATCTCATTTTATCCTCATATCAACCCTGGAAGGCAGGTGCTATTATTGATCCCCATTTGCAGATAAAAAAACTGAAGTAAACAGAGATTAAGTGACTTGCCCAGGGTCACACAACCAGTAAGTGTCTGAGGCTGGATTTGAACTCAGGTCTTCATGATTTCAGGCCCGGCCCTCTATCCACTGTGCCCCATAGCTACTTAAGGGAATAATTAGTCATTTACGAATAGTCCAATCAGTTCTGGTGTGTCACATCCTAGACTTGCAACCAAAACTAATCTGAATAGGGAGCATAACCAGTCTATGCCCTATTTGTAAAGCCTAAGAAATGACCTAAGGATACAGCAAGATGTGAAAACAATAATAGCTAACGTTTATATAGCAAGGTTCACAAAGTGCTGTATAAGCATTTCATCTGATCCTCACAATAACCCTGGGAAGTACATACTATTGTTATTCCCATTTTGCAGATGAGGAAACTGAGGTAGACAGGGTAAGTGGTTTGCCCAGGGTCACACAAACTAGTATGTGTCTGTGGACAGATTTGAACTCTGGTCTTCTTGACTCTTAAGTGCTCTTTTCACTGTGCTACCTATATAATGCCCAACTCTAGTGTAGATGGTGCAGAAATGTTAGTCAACTGCTTTTAGAAAAGGTCCCTCCCATCTTCCACATTCCATCCCGCCTTCCAATTTGCCCATCTACTGCGGATGGCTAACCAGAGAACTGCTAGAAATGACCAATAGACATAGAGAGCCTCACCAAAATAAAACCAAAAAATGGGTCAATCCAATTATACTAATATTTCCTACATGGTGACGCATTTATAAAACTTGTGCGTGTGTTAGTGAATGGCCCCTAGTCCCAGAAGTCAGGGGAGGACGGGAATGAGATGAGTGAAAGGGAAGAGGCTGATAGATAGAGTAAAGGAGGAAGGCTTCTGATATTGGTGAGGAGGAGGAGGGAGGCAATTGAGTGCCTGGGTATAATGCAAAGACAAACAGAGTCATCAGGTATAATCCCTGCTGGTAGGGAAGGCTGAGACTGGGGGATTAATTGCCCTTGAAAGTTCTGAGTTATAGTAGGGCTAAAGCTGATTGAGTTTCTGCATTAAATCTGGCACCAATAGAGTGATACCTTACCCTCCCCCTAAGTGGCACAGTAGATAGAGCACCTGCCCTTGAGTTGGAGTGGACCTGGGTTTGAATCCAGCCTCAGACATTTACTAACTGTCTGAGCCTGGGCAAGTCATTTAGCTCTATTTACCTTAGATTCCTCATCAGCAAAATGAGCCAGAGAAGGAAATGGCAAACCATTCCAGTATCTTTGCCAAGAAAACCCCAAAGGTGGTCACAGAGATTGGGACACCACTGAAATGATTCACCAACAACACCACCCCCAAGAATGAGGAGCCCCAGGGCTGCCCTAAGAAAGGGCAAACCAGCCCAGGTGAGAAACGGAGTGTGTCAAGGATTCCGTGCTGATCAGGCTGGGCTGCTGTGGTCTAGCCTAGACAAGATAGGGGGACTCAGCTTCCAAAAATAAAAGAAAAGCTAATTCAAGCTCCAAGTTAGAAATTAAATTGCAAGACCTCAGAGCTATGTCATCTTATCCAACAAAGCTTGCAGAGTTAACCTTTTAGAAGGGGTTAATGTGCGTTTTCGGAGTAACTCAACCTGTATTTTTAGGTATGGTGCCACGGTTATAGAATCTCCTAATTAAGGGTTAAGCTATTGCTTTGATCACCTAAAATAAAATTCTATCAACCTGTCCCTCCCATTATTTTCCAGCTTTCACTAAAAAAGTTCTCCCTTCTATGCTGTGTGATCCCACCAAACTGGCCTTCTCTCTGATCTGTTTCTCACATGCTGAGTCATTTTTCAGTTGTGTGTCACATTTCATGACCCTCTTTGGGGTTTTCTTGGCAATGATACCAGAATGGTTTGCCATTTCCTTCTCTAGCACATTATAGAGGTGAGGAGACTGAAGCAAACAGGGTTAAGTGAATTGCCCAGGGTCATACAGCCAGTAAGTATCTGTCTGAGGTCAGATTTGAACTCAGGAAGAAGAATCTTCGTGACTCTATGCCCAGCATTCTATCCACTGCACCCCCTAGCTGCCCGTGTGTTCCTCACATACAACACTTCGTGTCTCATCTTTGGGCTCCATGCCTTGTTCCTGGCAGTGTCCCATGCCTATCGGGAGAAGGGAAGGATACATTAGGGGCAAATGTGTCTCCTTTAAGACAGTTTTGGCACCAGCCTTTCTTGATGCAGCACTCTGCCTGTAACTGATAAGCAGCCTCCCTACCCTGCATCTAACTACTTCGTATATATTTGTATTCATACACTTCATGTTTATGCTTTGTGTTTATATGTATATATGTATACTTGTGAGGAGGGATTGTATTATTCTTTGTATTTATAATACCCCAGAGCTCAGCACATAGTAGGCGCTTAATAACTTGTTGATTGATTGAATCAAGTTTACCACACTTTTTTTCCCCACTTTGGTTAGGAGAAATTTTTTTTTTTTTTTTTGGTGAGGCAATCGAGGTTAAGCAACTTGCCCCGGGTTACACAGCTATTAAGTCTGAGGCCAGCTTTGAATACAGATCCTCCTGACTCCAAGGCCAGAGCTCTCTATCCACTGCACCACCTAGCTGCCCTTAGGAGAAATACTTTTAAAAATAAGCCGTTAAAATTTTAAAACATTAATAAGCAAGGTAAGTCTTTTATGGAGAAAGCATTTTTAAAGAAATGGAACTAATGGGGCAGCTAGGTGGCGTAGTGGATAGAGCACCAGCCTTGGACTCAGGACCTGAGTTCAAATCCAGCCTCAGACACTTGACACTTACTAGCTGTGTGACCCTGGGCAAGTCATTTAATCCAGAATGCCTGAGCAAAAACAGAAAAAGGAGAGAAAGAAATGGAACTCACTACCTGAAACACTTTGATATTTTTCTCATTGGTCCTTCCTAATCTCATATACCAATTTTAATGAGAATGTTCCTTTGTATATTTGAATCCTATCTGGAACTTCGGCCTTCCAGAGGTTGTTAGCTCCCAAGTCTTCAGGCTAGCTTCTGGGCTTCTGATGGGTCTGGTTTTGAGATCCTTAAGGGGAGGCGCCAGCTGCCTGAGGGGGAAGGAGGCTGAGGCCCCAAGCCCCTCTCCTCCTGTGCCAGGCACAGCCAGTGAGAGAAAAGAGATACTCTTCCCCTCAACCCTTTCCCTGCCAACCCAGATAGTCAGAGTTTGGGACAAGATTCTTATGTCCATCAGAAGAGTGTGGAGGAAAAAAGTGCATACTGTAGTGCTGAAATGAAAAAGAAACTCAACAGTTTGGCCTGTGACCTTCCAGCTCTGCGTTCTACAGGTCCAGTGGGGGATAGTTGGCAAGCCACAATTGTGAGGCCTCATGGCAGCTCACATCCAGGCGGTCTCTTCTTTTTTGACAATTAATTTTCCTATAGACTACACCCTTTAAGTCACCCAGGGCTGTATTTCCAACAAGAATTTGTCATCCAAATATTAACAGTAACGGTAGCATTTGTCTTGATGTTCTAAGATTACAGTGGTTTCCTATAACTCTTTCTAAAATTCTTTTACAGTTTTTTTCCACTGCTATGTGATACAGTGCCTGTAATTGGGAAGACCTGAGCTTAAATCCAGCCTTGGACACCTACTGTGTGATCCTGGGTAGGTCACTTAACCCTAACCCTAACCCTATGAAGATAACTAGGTACATGTAAAAAATACATAAAGAATAGATGAAAGATCAGAGGGAAAGCTTTAGTTGGTGAGGGCATTTAGGAAAAGCCTCCTGTAGAAGCTGGGATTTGAGCTATGTCTTGAGACAACCAGGGAAACTAAGGGGCAAAGGTGAGAAAGGACAATATTCCAGGCATACCGGGTGATCGATGCAAAGGCACTGAGTTCAGAGATGGAGTATTGTAGACAAGGAACAGCAAGCAGGCCAGAATAGTTCAATTATGACATGTATAAGCCTAGAAAGGTAGGAAGGGGCCAGATTATGAAGAGCTTTAAATGACAGAGGATTTCATGTTTGCTCCTGGAGGTAATAAGGATCCGCTGGAGTTTATTGAGAAGGAAAGTGACATGATCAGACCTGTGCTTTTTTTTTTTTAAATTTTTATTTTTTTTCTCAATTACACAGAAACAAAAACTTTTGACATTCTTTTTTAAAAATTTTTGAATTCCAAATTCCCTCCCTCCCTCTTCTCCTTCCTTGAGAAGGCAAACAATTTTATATAGATTATACATGTACAGTCATGTGAAACATTTCCACCTTACCATGTTGCAAAAAGAAAACACAGATGAAAGACTCATGATGAAGCATGCTATCCTTTCTTTCTTTCTTTCTTTCTCTTTCTTTCTTCCTTCCTTCCTTCCTTCCTTCCTTTCTTTGTTCAAGTCTTCTTGTACAAAATGACTAATATGGAAAAGTTTTACATAATTACACATGTATAACCTATATCAGATTGCTTACCATCTCAGGGAGGGAGGAGGGGAAGGAGGGGTGGAATTTGGAACTCAAAACTTAAAAAAAAACCCTCAAATGTTAAAAAATCATTTTAACATGTAATCAGAGGGGGAAAATAAAAATAAATAAATGTGTTATCTTAAAAAAAAAAGAAAAAATAAAGAAAATGGGCCAAAAACCCAAGAATAATAAAGTTTTAAAAAATGTTTCAATCTGTATTCAGACTGCATCAGTTCATTCACTGGAGGTGGATAGCTTTTTTCATCATAAGTCCTTCAAAATTGTCTTGGATC